ATGGGTAAATGCCTTGCTTTCTTCGAGCCTTAGTTTCTGTATCTGAATAGGCAAGAGAGAAAAGAGTCCTAAGATTTTTTATTTTAAGAACTGTAGAAAATCAGATGCGGTGCTGGAACCACAATCTTATAGAGCTCTCAAGCACTGGGTATGTGTTCATGTCAGGGATACCTTAAGTGTACATTCCATTTAGAGCCGTCATTCCATAAACACGTGTTGATCATCTCTGGAAGGTGTCAGACATTGTCTAAAGTACTGTGAGATCTCTGACTTCCCAATTTAAAATGGTTCATAGTCCACCCCCAGCCCTCACCTTCCATTCTTAATTTTTCTCCATAGTATTCATTTCCTCAGTACAATATATAGTTTCCTTACTTAACTTTGTTCATTGCCTTCCTCCCCTCCCCAAAATAGAAGTTCCACAGAAGCGGGGATATATTTCATGTGTTGCTCTGTCCCTGGTGATTAGAACAGGGCCACACACTGGGTGAGTGTCAATAACTGTCTCCTGAATGAATAAATGAATATGTTACGTCAGATTTTATGATCCCCAGTGAGCGCTGAGATTCTCTTTATTTTATACTTGAAATTGAGGCCGGGAGAAGTCAGGGAATTTGTTCAGGATTAGCACCAGACTCCAAACCCTGTGGGTCTTCAAGTGATATCCATCTCCTCCTGCCATTTGCAATGTTTCTGCATATGAACCTCATCCGTTCTGTGTGTCTCAATCGGGATCTACCGTTCTGAGAAACAACCTAAGATTGTTTCTGAGTACTTCATTTACAGGAAAGATGACCTTTTTGCTTCTGGCCCACTTCACTGCAAGGTTGGAAAGCTCAGTGTGAGCCAAGGATGGAAGCGGGTCGACAGAGGGGAAGGAGATTAATGGACTAAATCCCGCCAAATAATAGACATTTTCTAGGGTGTGTATAGATATATATTTACAGAAGCCTTTTTAGGTTTATTTTTTTCCAGAAGATTTTTTATGAGCCCTTTAAAATCTGCCCCCCCCATTTTGTTTTTGTTTTCTTTTTGGGTTTTTTGGGTTTTCTGGCAGGAGGTGTGGGGAGGGGTACAAACCACTGAACCGTGCAATGGCTCACGCTGAGGTTATACGTAAACTCCTCCACTAAAAGAGTACTAATGGTTGACTCAATTCTCTGCTTTGCTTTTGTGTGAAGTGTTTCTGGTAAGCAGTGATTTTTTTTTTTAATTTCTAGTCCGTTGTGTGCATATTTATATTAACAAAAGCTATGTTGAATGAAATCTGTGAAATGTGAACTGCAGATCAGCAGCTGGGGGACAGAGTTGGACCTAGAAAGATTTCAGACGTTCTGTCTTCTGGCTCTTGGACACTGCTGTAACTCAGAGTGAATCAGAGTGATGTCATCTTGTCCTGACGTAATGGGGGATGAGCTATTTCATGGGAGAAAAATTGTAAATCACTGCAACTTCGACTCAGCACCAAAATTGTTTATTTTAACATCAAAAATTTTTAATTCACTATCTTTGGATTTTAAAAAAGAACTTTTTTGGACGGCATATTCAGACCATATTCATTTTGGTATGTGTGCATGCTGAAAAAGCAAGGTTGGAAAATCAGTGAGGGCACTAAGAAAATGGGGTTCTAAGGCCCCACACTCTACCCTCAGTAACAGTAAGAACATTTTATGTTTGGCTTCATGAGCTTCTGTGTAAGTGTGTATGTTCTTGGTTCTTTGGTTTCTTCTGGAGTGCATGGCCTCAAACCACTCAGGTTTCTCAAGTCCTTTTGCCTTTTCTAAAACGTTTCTGGCATCGGTCTTGTTACGAGTGGGCAGTGACTCCTGGATGCTCTCAGGGCCTTCCCTCTAACAGAGGGACTCCCCTACTTCTGCACTCCTACCCCCCACCTCGGAGTTTAATTTGCTAATTCTCCTCTACTATGAGTGGGTTAACATGGAAGCAGGTTTATAGAAGTTAAATTTAAATTAGTAGAAGAGTGTGAGAGATTTTTCCATAAAATACTATGTACCGTGTTTCAGCAGTAACAAAATTAAATCTAAGTGCTGTATTTGAAAATCAATCACATTTATACACTCATTTCTTATGCTGGGCTTTTTAGTGCTGAATTCTTCTTTATTTCCTCGTTCTTAGCAGTCGTGTGGATAATTGTAATCACATCTTGTCACTTCTCATCTTTTCTCTATATGTGTAAAAGTTAACATTTTTGTATCAGTCCTTCCCTTTCCAAATCAAGGACTTCTTTAGGTGTACATTTATCTCACCTAGAATAGTTTACTTTTAAGTTTTTATTAATACTTTATATAAAGTGACACACTATATTTTTAAATTGCATTAACTTCATACCATATAATCTTACTTATTTGAATAACATGGAGAAAAATCCAGTCTGAATTAGCAAAAAGCAAAACGTGGAGTCTGTCGAAGGGTCGGTAGGTATATTTTACTCCCCCACCCCAGGTCTCTGAAATAACCACTGCTAACACCTTGATGTGATACCACCACATTTCTTTTCCTTTGCTCACTGTTACTACGTTACGTAATACGTGGTGGCCAGGAGGGCATGGCCAGGGTTTGGAATTTGCGTGAGTGAATAGACAAGAATGATTTATAATTACCGTATAATTATATGCTCTATATACATATATTGGATACATGGATAGATAATTCTATATAATCCATATATAGATGTAGAGTCTCTTGTATGGCATCTACATTCGAGATGACTCCTCAGTGGATTCTTTCCTTTTAGCTAGTTGAAATCCTCCCTTCTTTATAGCTAATAACCATAGTTCACTCGATAGCGAGATCACCCCACATTACAGAGATAAGATTTTATGTTGCTGATGGTCTTTGTCTCCTTCCCCCTCCCCATCTACCTTTTCTATCTTTGTTCATCAGACCCTTGTTTCTGAGGCAGACTCACTGGCCGGGTGGGGGCCGGGGGCAGGGGATTGTGAAACAGAATCCCTCTCCTCCATCAAGCCGGCAATATCAGGGTCAGATTTATACCCACTGTGACTTGCCCCATCCACTCACCTCTGGCCCTCTCGGTCCTCAACGGAAAGGAAGAGGGGCAGAAGTACCAGAGAAAAGACCAGAAAACCATCGAGAGTGTGCTCCGTCTTTTACTCCCAGATGAAGAAATACAGTCGGGAAGCAAGTCAATGGATCTTGCTGCTTTGCAATGCCAGTGACAAAGGTTGTCTTCCAAGTCCAGGCCCCCCCCCCTCCCCCCCGGGGATTTCCTGCCCCCAGGGCTCCGGGAGCAGGGGTAATCGTGGGGCCTCCTTTTAGCCCTAAAGCCTGCGATCCCACAATTCCTCAGCTCCCTCCCGTGACCCCAGAGGGTTGCCAGACGCATTAGGGACGTGTTCCCCAAGAAAATAGCCTCCATATGAGGAATCCTGGCACGGTTTTTACTCGATGTCCTCAGGGCAGTGACAGGGTTCATCTGCGATGTGTTCTCTCAAGGCCGTTCAGCTCATCTTCCAGGCAAATTCCAATTAAGATGATATGCTTGGAAAATATATATTTACCTGGCCCAGGGTACTCGGTTACTGTTTTCCTGCAGCAAAGTGAAAATAGGCAACACAGCCAGTTTGTTTCGGCCTCCTCTGGAGGCTTCTCTTCTCCACGTCCTCCCTCCTCGGTGCCCTCATCCCCTTCCTCCGTAGCCCTCGTAGGACAGAATGCATTTAGGAATCATCTGGGGTGTTAATTCCATACTTTTTTTTTTTCATCCCATGGTTCCTTCCTGGCACAACACAAGTGTAGAAGCTCTACCCTATTAAATATTCTGATTCAGAACGGTGCAAATTGCTTTATAAACTTGACTGGTTCGGTTTCCCTTCTTACCCTCTATGGCCCTACACAAAAGCCCAGCAAAGGGAGGGGACTCGTTCTTGGGCAGTAAGCCGCAGGTGCCGCCGGCCATGGCTCCATGTTAGCATCCGACAAAGCCTGTCTTTTTCACTCGGCATAAGGAACAGCCAGCTGAAAGCTTTCAACGTCATGGGCCTTTCTGGGGACATGAAATAATTCATGATACACTTTGCTCCCCAGTTATTTTGTCACTTCATCTCATGACACTGATGGGTTTCCTGTGCCAGCCCCCTAGTGACCCGGCACCGAGAGTCACTTTGGTGGTCTGTGGATGCTGGTAAACTTGAACACTGCTCTGCCAAGTGCACCTTGAAAGTCACTTCAAACCCAGGGAATCGGACCCTGCCAATGTCCCCTTACAATTAGAAGACCGGTGGACAGTTGTCAGGCTTGTGTCTCAGATTCGTTGACCAGGTCACCTTGTATTTGTCTGTCCCTCTTCAGAAACTAGCAGTGGCTTCACTGTGATTAGCACGTGTGACTGCAGAAATGTCCCACATGGCGTTGTGGTTGTGCCCCAAGCAGCGAGCATTCTTTGCCGAGCACAGAACCCATGCAGATAGGTTCTGGGTCTCAAACCACGCTTGATCTTTGAGGTTTAAATTCACTCATTCTTGGCAAAAGAAAATGTATTGTTTAAAGAGAACAGGATGAGAGAGGCTTATAGTAAAGACTTGTAACACTTCTTGGACCTCAGATATGTCTCTCAGAACAAAATGTTTAATGAGCTAAGTGTAAATGAATCAGAAACATAAGGATCAAATTTCCCCTAAAATGCAGACGAACTTAAAAATTAGCAGAAAAGGGGGACTGGCAAAAGATGTGCTTTGAATTTCACCAAACCCAGAGTATTTGAAAAGCATTTTAAGACGCTTGACAAACCCAAACTGTGACTACATTTTCCCTTGAGTTGACTTCTTTTATCCCCTCAGTATCTCAACTGAGAAGTCATTGGTTAAAAATGGGAGAAAAAGTGTTCACCAATTTCTTTTGAGGGCTTTTTGTACGCTCTTATCCAGCCAGTGTGGAAATCGGAATTTGGCTTTGGAGAGTTTGTCTCTGCTCCCGCTTTTTCATGTCCCTCACGCTTCCTTTCATAATCATCTTCCCAGGTTTGCACCTTCTGCCCCGTCTCCTCACCACATCAGCCCCCGGAGAGTTCCAGCTCCTTCTTCAGTAATGCCGAGAACGCAGCCTCCCCACACACAGCAGCCAGCAGGTGGGCCACACCTGAAGTCTTACCAGCCGGAAACAAACTCTTCCTTTCAACCAAGTGGGATCCACGTCCATGGTAAGTGGGGAGCCGACCACCCCTTGAGTCTCAGAAAGTGATACTGTGTTGTCGCTGTCAGACAAGTGCCTTCACGACCAGCGGTGGGTCCCTCTCGTTTGGTCACAACGCCAGGCTTTGGCTTTAAGGACTGTCCTCTAAAATGTCATACCTCATCATCATGAAATCTCATAGCATTTTCCTGCTGTTGGCCCTAAGCTGGTATATGACACCCCAGAATGGTCAGCGCAAGATGATGATCCATTTACTGACCAGTGATTTAACACCTCACGGAGAGGCCCTCACAACAGCATCTTGTTTCCTAAATAATAAACAGTCACTTAAAAGGGAACAACAGGAGGGTTTTTGCCCAGGCATACCTCCCCCTCCCCAGGTCCCCTACTCCCAGAACCTCTCCATCCTTCAAGGCCCAGGTGAAATGACACCTCCTCTCTGGAGCCTTCCCTGGTGTCCTGGCTGGATTGCATCTCTCCTGGCTCTAGTCTCTGACTGCATAGCCCCTGTGTCACTCAGATAGCACTCTCACTCTCTCTCTACCTTGTTAAGTTACTCCTTTGTGAGGAACACTTGCCTTTCTATTAATGTGGAAGCTTCTTTCTGAGGTCAGAATTTTCTGACCCTTTGTTCTTTGTTTTGGAGAACTTAGCCCAGTTGTCTACATGCTAAGGTCCTTGGTAAGTGCAGAGAGAAAGAAAAGGAGGAAAGGAAGGCCAGAGAAATCATGATGGTGTTCCAAATGTGAAGATCTGGTGTTGAACCCAGAACATCCATGGAGAGCTAAGTTTGGCTGAATTTCTTTTCTTTATTTTTGCTGATTTTGCCGACTCAGGCAGATATCTTTGTGAACATCCGTAGAAAGGTGAGTTGAGTTGTCAGATTGCATGGACTCAGACCATATGTAGCCTTTTACTTCCTGGGGGCAAAGGGGATCCTGTCCATTTAAAGGAGATTTTCAGCTCCTTCTGAAAAATAGGACTCTCCCCTGTCTGCCTCTTGCTGATTCCCGAGTTTGCTCCACGTGAGTTATTACTTGATGTTAATGTGTGGTGTCCCCAAATAAATCTTAATCAGTATGCCAGCTGAGTGTGAATAAGTGTGAGTGACTTCCCAAGATGGCAGGAGCAGGCAGTGCTGTGGAGGTAGGTGTAGGTGAGGGCATCAGAGTAGGGGTCTGGGCAGCCAAAGAGGAGACCATGTGGGCTATGGGAAGGGAAACACCTTGAGAAGCCCAGGCCACTGGCTCCAACTCCAAGTTCCATCCATCTCTTCTCCTCTCTTCCTGAGTGTAATCCCACAAACCCTCATTCCCCGATGAAAGGTGGGCTCCCACCACTGTTTGGGCCTATGGTAATTGTTCCTCTTTTCTGTCGGTAACCTTCTTCTTAAGCTTTAGTTATGTATTTATTCAACCAAGAAATATTTCTTGAGTACGTATTGTACACAGAGCAGCGCATGTGTGAGAAAGACAAAGAGAGCACTCTTCCTGCCGAGAGAGACCTCCTGACCCAGGAGAGGGGCTTCTCTAATGTGGGGGAGCTCCAGGTCCCCCGTGCCGGGAAGCCACCCTTGCCGGCAGGGAGGAGGTAGACGAGTGTGGGTTTTCTGGAGTACAGAAGAGGTCACTGATCCTACAACATACCATTTTTACCCTTCACGTTTTAACGTTGCCGAGATCTGGACATGTGTCAGTCAGTGGCATCGTACGACTGGCAATGCTTTTTCTCCCCAGTGCTATAAAAAATAATGGAGTATTTCAGGCAATCGTGTCATAGTTCCAATGAAAGGCCATGTAACACTTTGATGACAACTGTGAAACATATTTTAAAAATTCAAAAATTAACCTACACGTAGACCAAAAAAAAGAATGGAAGGAAATTTTCTAAAACATTAACAGTTTTGCTTTGTTTTGCTTTTAAATCATGACGGTAGGGATAATGGATACTTTCTTTTCTTCTTTTTCTGCTTTCTGAAGACATTTTAAAAGAGATTCTGGAATTAGACCAATTCGATTACAAATACCAGTCCACTCAACTGTGAGACTCTGAACAATTTCTGGGGGTCTCAGCTCCCTTCTCTCACCAGTGGTTGTGAAGAGTCCACAAGAAAAGCATGTGGCACAGAGTAGGAACTTAATATAATGCTTCTCCTTCTTCTCCCTCCCTTTTCTTCACTGGACTCTTTGAGAATGGGGATATTTCTAGCCTTAGGGCACGTGTAATTCTTGGGGCAAAGTAGGCATTTAGTAAATATTTACTGAATAAATGATTGACACTCTCTCATTCAACAAATGTAAAATGAAACAAGACTACACAGAAAATGAGACCTACCCTATCATTTTGCCCTACTTCCCAGCAAAAGGCTCCTCTCCCATATTTCTCTTTTTTTAGTTGAATAATGAATATATTGTCAACTTGAATCCGTTGAGTTGGTTTTTTTTTTTTTCTTTAACTTTTACTTCGATTGTTAAAAATTCCCATGGCCAATGAGAAACTGCTAGCAGCAGCCTAAAAATAAATCCGTATGACAAGCCTTTCTGGAAGAGATCAGGATGTAGTTATGCAAATTGGGAAACCATAACTTTGTTCTAGAAGATGGGCAAGTGGTCGCTGTGATGGGCTCCCAGAGGGAGTGTCCATGCTTTAACCGCTGGGCCACTGCTAAGAATGAAGGAGTAGGCATCCAGATGCAGCCTTACCTCATCCTCCCAGGATTTTGTCTGAAAATGTTTTCCTGGAGCTTGCTAGGCACGAGCACTTCTCATCAACCGCTCCTTAGGATAAAGAGCAAATTGAGCTAATATTTTTCAAGTGGGTGATACAGTGCCGGGAGCAAAGAGAGGCACAGAGACCTTCTAAATGAGTTGCAATTATTGGCAGCTTTGGTTGGACTAGTTTGCTGGGTGGCGTCATACAGCATCTTGGTCACGGGGAACCTCACCCCCTAATAAAACTAGATTTTTAAAATGCCGAGAACTCTGTCGGGATTGCTAACACAGTAGCCACAATGAAAGGAGTGTTCTGTCTTTCAAGAAGTTCATGGCTTTAATGAGCGCTGTCACTCCCATCCTCTTTGTATTCCCTGCGGTAGGTAGAGGTCAGAGAAAAATGTCATCAGTATATTTTTAGAGATGGGAGCTGAGACAGAGAAGAATACAAAATGTCTAGGCATCGCCGCCTTCTTAGCAAAGTGCACAGGCATCCTTAACAAGAGGTCCACATTTCCAAGCCACGTTCTTCATCTCTGTGTTTCTGAGTCAAAGGCACACCAAAGTAAATATGTGTTTACATTTTTCCATGGGGAAATATACTTGTATGTAGATGCTGCTGCCTTACCCGGAGCCACGAAAGTTAGAATTCAAAGGGCTTTGGTCTTCCAGGTGAGGAAGAAAAAGAGGTCCCACTGAGCTTTGCTCATGCCATATTAATCAATACAGCGCTTAGACTTTGTGTGCTCTGTGTGTGTGTGTTTATTTATTTACCCTCGAAGTATGCTTGACAATGTTATGTTAGTTTCAGGTGTATAACATCGTGATTTGACAATTCTGTACTTCCCTCAGTGCCCCCAGCGCTAACTATAGTCACCATCTGTTGCCATACATTATTACCGTATTAATGAGTGTTTTGTAAAAGGCACACTTTGAAAAGATTAACAGTGCTGCTTTTTTGAGCCCCTCACCTAGCGAGTGACCCAGGACTAGAGCTCAGTTTTGTTGATTCTGCATCGACTTCATCCATTTATGTTGCCTTCATTAGTAAGGTGGATGAAGTGTCATTTCTTTTAATGTTTGAATGTTGATAGCATTTATGGGTCTCTGTTTGGGTGGCATCTCCAAGGCAACTTCTAAGTACATTTTAGTCTTTTATTTTAGTTGTAAACATAGGAACAACTCTTTCTAATCATGTAAGCTTGTTCTTCAGTCTTTTCTTTCTCTTTAGGACCATTTCTCTTGCCCGGGCAAGCTTTAGAATTTTGCCTGGATTAGTTGCCTGAGAGTTGATATTTGTACATTTTGTTATGGTACTAATGGATAATTTCTTTTTAAATGCCCTATTCATTCCAGGCTGTTAGATTGCCATGGGAATTCCTAAAACAGCATTTTCACAACTTTCCTGCTTCTGGACCCATCAAGGAGTGGCCAAGTTCAATTCAGCAAGCGTTTATTGGTCACCCACTAGGTGCCAAGTGGTTGTGAATGTCATTTAATCAATGCAGTGATACATGCAATAATAATAATAATAATAATAATAATACTATCAAGAGGTACCTGGTTTATTCAGAGGAAGGTGTCATAGAAGCTAGTCACCTTTCTAGAGGTGACTCTTGAATAGGGTTTTGAAGATAAATAGAGGAGGCTGGGAACCAGCAAGACCAGCTCATAGAGGGACTTGGGACCATGCTAAGTATAATCCCACTGAACGGTGAAGCCAGCCTGGTATTTTAGGAAAGTAAGCTGGGACATTGTTGTAGGGAACGGAATTGGAGAGGTGGGAATGCTGCATCCTAACTGCTGGGATTGTTTTGGACCACACCCGTACCACACCCACACCCAAACAACAGTGACTGAACCAACAGTCTAGTTAACTCAGACGCCACTGGTAAGTAGAGGAATGAGGTCAGAATAATGGGGAATTGTGTTCATTCACCCGCAGTCTTTTGTAGGTGAGGGGAGCTGGACTAGAAGAGAAGGAAATGAAAAAAGCCTTCAGCCTAGCTGCTACACAGGTAGGAGCCCCTCCATCCCCCTTTAGTACAGCTGGGAATGAGCAGTACCCTAAGAGCCCCTTCCCCAGAGAGGTGCATCCCTGGCCTTGCTTGGCCCTCAGCTACGGGCAGATCATGATCTTTCCCACAAGCTGGTTCTAGCACCTGTTGCCTCAGGTCCTGCAAACCAACATTTCCGGCCGACACTTGTGTGCGTTTCTGGACTACCAAGGAGCCTCTGGCCACATAGAACTGGCTGCCCAGATTCCCACTTGTGTTGATACTGCTAGAGTTAGAAG